TTTTAGTCAGCTTTTTCACTGCTGTGATAAAAGACCCGACCAGGACAATTGTAGAGGAGGAAGAGTTTATTTGGAGGCTCACAGTTTCAGAGGTCTCAGTCCATAGACCTCCAGCTCTATTCCCATGGGTTTGAGATGAGGCAGAACATCAGGGCAGAAGAGTGTGGTGGAAAGAAGTGGCTTACATGATGATCAGGAGCAAGAGAGAGACTCCACTCACCAAATACAAAATATGTACCCCAAAGACACACCCCCAATGCCCACCTTCTCTAGCCATATCCTACCTGCCTTCAGATAACACTGAATCCCCATCAAGGGATTAGTTCACTGGTTGGGTTAAGACTCTCATAACGCAATCATTTCTCCTCTAAACCTTCTTGCATTGTTCTCACACATGAGCTTTTGGGGATACCTCACATCCAAACCACAACAATATTAATCTCTTACTATGCCTAACTTGTAAACTTTATCATAGATATATATGTATGGGAGGGAACAGTACTACCTATAGTTTCAGGCATCCACTGGAGGTCTTTGAATAGTCTGCTATGGGTAAAAGGGACTACTGTATTTCTTCTATTATAACTAAGGTTATTCTTAGGCCTGGAGAAATTAGATAACTTATATAAGAGCTGTTTTACTCCAAAATTCTTTCTCTTAATTGCAAAATACTCTGAGGTTTATTTTTTTTCTTCTACACAAGGGGAGATAATTCTTGTAGCACAGCAATATGACGATTAAATGAAGGAAATATATAAATATATAAAATACTTCCCACAGTGCTTAATACATTATAGATTTTAGTAGGCTGTGGTTAGACCTACATAAGGACAATTTGTAAGTAAATATAAATAGAAAACTTTGAGACTCTCCAGGACTGGCAGAGATAAGGGGAAACTGGCTAAGTGCTCAGTAGGAAGAATTTTAAGGTCTAGAACCTATGTCCCAGCTAGGTCAGCTGTCAAATAGAGATATCCTAAAATTTCTTCTTGGAGATAACAAGGGAAACAGTAGGAGATTAACTCATCCCTATCTCCTGCTCATGTTTTTATCCTTTGCACTGCATATTTATCCCCAAAGAGCAAACCAAAGAAAAAGTAACCTTGGACAAAATTTTTCTTGCCCATGATCCAGATTTACCCATGGATTCGACTGTGTTATGTTAATTCCTTTACCTTGGAGTTTTTCTTGCTTGAATTATACCAATATTTTTTCAGCCAAAAAGAGTGGGGGGGAAGGTATGACCATTATGTGAAGATTTTAAGAAGTTTTGTGTCAGTATTACTTAAAAGTCATTTATCACTAAACTATCTTTGGTGCAAAAATTAAAATGCTTGGAATGGTGTGAATTTGCGATAGCACTGATCTTATGGTGAAATGTGGTACATCTCTGTGCTGGTCCTCAAGGGAACTTGTATCATTAACATTTGAATCAGATGTAAACAAAACTCCCCCTTGTGGTTCATTCCTCCGTGCCATAGTTGAGACAGAACCCACCTCCCCTGCCCACTAAAAAACGAAAGAATTTTGTAACTATTAAAATAGAAAAATAAATTACTAGAAAATACAAAGAACATAAGCATAATCTGCTTCTGAAATGAAAATTTTGATGCCTGTCATAATTGGCTTGTTCTCAAAGTCATAAATTCTGTTCTGTTTTCTGTCTTCAGATATCTGTACTCTATCCTCAGTCGACCAGCACTATTTTCTGGTACCTTGCTTGGGTTTGCATATCCTAAACCTTGATGTGGCTTCATACCAGGGCCTCAAATTTATTGCCTGGTAAATTTGAGGTATCTCCTGGTAGCTTCAGTCAAAAGTAAGACAACAAGATTACCAGTTTGGGGAACTTCTCTAAGAGATTAGGTTTCAGGGTGAAATCACTGAAAACCGAGGGCTTCTGCAAAATATTTTGGAGTCACCTATAATGGACCACAACTGAAACTTTATAATTTGATTATCCTCATGTCTTTGGCCAAAAAAATAAAGTTTGCAGGATAGTCCAGTCCAAAAAAAGTCAAAGGTCAAATGTTTTCCTTGATATGTGGAAGGGGAGGGGATTTAAAAAAAAAAAAAAAACAAGAAAGAGACAGAAAGGAAAAGAAGTAGAGAGTGAATTTCATCAAAATAGATTAAAAAATAGTAAAGTAGATGAATGGGATTGAGGAAGAAGAAGAAGGGATGGAAAAAAAAGAGCAGTGGATGAATCTGACTGAACTTTCACACGTACATTCGTGGATGTGGCATGGTGGGTCCCACATCAGGGGTATCCACAGGACACTGATTAAAAATAAATATAAACTGTAAATAGATTGAAGAGAGATTTGGTGGATTGGAGGGTGGAAGTGCTGGGGACTGAATCAGAGCAGGTTCCATGCTTTTGTGATTATGTCAAGGTGTATCCTGATGTTGTATCATAACCAAAAAGAATTTTGTAAAAAAAAGTTTGCTGGATATTACTCAGATATTACTCAGGCAATGAAGAACTGGTTTGAATTTAAGGTTGTTTCCTGGACTTGTCTTCTTTATGCGGTCCCCAGTGGGGAGGCCAAGAAAGAAACATATTTAAAAATCAAGTTTGCTTTTAGTGAACTGTGAAAGTAGAGTGTCTTGTATGAAGACCCAACTGAATTTCATAAAAATTATTTATTTATGATTAACATGTATTAATTTCAAATATTAATGGGGTTTATGTGATATTTCAATACATGCATGTAGCATATACTGATTAAATCCAGCCTCCCTTTGTCCATCCTGTCCCCACTTTCCCCGTCTCTCTCAATTGCTAGTCTATGTGTAATGTAAGTTGACTTTCCTTTTAACTTGCATGTATGAGAGAAAAATATGTGGCATCTATCTTTCTATATTTGTCTTATTTTACTTAATATAATACCTCTAGTTCCACCCATTTTGCTATTAATGACATAATTTTATTTTTTGTGCCTGAATAGTATTTTATTGTGTATATATGCCATTTTTTATCCATTAATCCATTCATGAGTTCTTAGATTGATTCCACATGTGTGTGCGTACACATGTGGTGTGAGTGTGCACACATGTTTTAATGTAAAGTCAAGCAGAACATGTTGAATTTCCTTGTTTCCTTCAACAGGCATTTTCTGATAGAGTAGTTATTTATCACTGTGTGCTATATCTTCAGAAATAATACTGCCATTTAAAGTTAAGACTTGCAACAAGTTTTGTGACCACTCCTATTTGATAGGTAGGGAAAATATTAATGATCATATTTGTGTATGATGAAATCTATGAAATATAAGGAACAAAGAGTGCGATAAGGGTGACGAGAAAGAGACTTATAAAACTGACAAAATATTTTAAATAAATTTTCAGCTGAATCCTGTAGCACTCTAAAGATTTCTCTTATGTTTCCATGATCTACTCACGACTTCCTGTGGGTGGTGTATTAGTGGTGTATTCATTACTATAATGAAATACCTGAAATGGTTACGTTTATAAAAATGAGATTTATTTAACTTGCATTTTTAGGGCATTGTGTCTGTATTGGCACAATTTTAACCAAGAACCTTCCAGCTGTAATCATATCTTGGCAGAGGTGTGCATGTGTGGAAGAGTTCACATTGCCAAACGTAGTCAAAGATTGGTGTCACAAAATCTCTTTTTTGAGGGCACTCCCTCAAAGACCTAAAGACCTCCTTCTAATAACCTCTCCCCCCCCCAAATTTTCACTACACAGCAATGTCTGTTACCCTGGAGACCAAGGCTTTAATCATAATAGACCCTGGAGGGCACTCAGACCATAGAAACCAAAGCCATAGCAGGTGGTAACTTTTCTTCAGAAACTATAAAGACTACTGTAGGCTATACAGTAGTCTAGAAGAGGCTTAGTTTTATAATCCAATAAAAAATTTAAATTTGAAACTCTTAGTGTGTAAGGCTAATATGTAAAGGAGGCAGTATAAAATTTCTTTTGTATAAAAAGAAAATGTTTTGAAACTTAGGTGAGAATAACAAATATAAAAATAGATACAATATCATGTTTTAGAGTCTTGCCATGTTCCAAAATGGTGGAAATGAAAATAGCTAAGCCATAAAGTGTTCTATGCCTAGTTAATGTTGACACAAACAAATGTCTAAATGTTTCACAAATGACCCTGTTGTTCCAAAGTATGTTCAAAGCTATTCCACTATTAATTTAGACTGAATACTCTGAACTACAGCTGAGATTTTTAATTTTCACTTTGTTATTATTAGCATTACTTTATTCAAATGGGGCAATTATCAAGTGTTCTCTGTGTAGTCATTCATAGTTCAAATTGTTTTCTGTTATAGTAAGACTGTACTGTGGACTGCCATTGTTTTGTTAGCATGTAGTTAAGAACCAGGAATAAAAGAATACTGAGACTATGTCACATCCTCATAGATAAATGATAGTTGTTGAGGGTTGGTTTCCTTCTGATTGATCAAGCAATTCCTTTCTTTAGGGTCTCATACAGAACTAGATGTTGGATCATTTTTATGACTGGTCTTTAGGATTATGTATTACTCAACCAATGAATCCTTCCTCTTAGTAGTAGAATTACTAGTTGATGTTCTTCAGACATCAGGCAAAAGCTCTGACACAACTCTCTGAGAGCCATTGTCATTAAAAAGAAAGAAAGAAGGAAGGGAGAGAGGGAGGAAGGAAGGAGACATAGAAAGAAAGAAAAAAAGAAAAAGACATAGCAATTACTCCATGCATTACTAGTTTATATGTATTATCATTAATTCTTTTTTTAAAAGGTTATATTCATACATTTTTGGTGATTTTTATTTTAGGATGAAGTAAATCTCAGATATGTAAAAATAACTTTTTCAGTAAACAAACGTTAATTAAGAGGTAGAGCCAAAATTGAGAAATCGGTCTATCTGGCTTTCCAAGCTTTTCCCCCTGACTCAGACTTTCTAATTTTGAATATTTACATTGAAGAGCATCTATATTATTGTACTCTGAACCTCTTTCATATTTGTTAGTGCTGTAGATACAAGTCTGAGCTTTAAGATCACATTTTGTGGGTTTCAGTTCCTACTCTGGCACTTGTGAGTTTTGTAATTTGAACAAATTATTTCACTCTCAGTGCTTTAGGTTACTAATTTATAAGATAGTTGTAAGAATTAAATGATATAAAGTACTTAGAATAGGTGTCTGGCCCAAGTAAGAGGTTAATACCTGCTTCTTGGAACCTAAATTCTAGTAGGGGATGAAAGATAAAGAAGTAAATGATATTGTATATTACAAGATGATAGTTGTTTAGGAAAGAAAAAGGAGAGGGAAAGCCAAATGTGATGCTGGTGATGTGATGTTTGATTATTTGCTTTTACTCTTCTTTATGGGGCATGTAGGTCTTTACTTTTATTTAATGCAATGTAATTTAAAACTATCTATTCCAGCCCTGAAGTTTCTCTTATTAGTTTACTGGGGATTTTAGTTTATCCTTCAGGAAATCTAGCATGTTATAATAGAAATTGTTGATGCTATGGAGTGGCAAAGTATCTTAATAATTTCATTAGTTTAGACCAGGGATTCATGAATAATGGTCAAGGGCCAACTCTGACTTATTGCCTGTTTTTGTTCGTAAAGTTTTTTTTGAACAGCCACAGCCATTCATTTATTGTCAGTACAACTTTTCTGCTGCAAAAGCAGCAGAAGATGCCCACAAAACCTAAAATACTTACTATCAAGAGTTTTAAAGAAAAAAGTTGCTAATCCTTGGCTCTTTAGACCATCGTTTAAGAAGTGTGTTGATATTTTCTTCTGATCTTTGTCTAACCATTCAGAGTACCTAAGTAGGAAGAAAAAACTTAAGAAGAGTCATGAAAAGATAGCACAGAAAACAAATTTATATTAGTCAAATACTAACACCAATCTCTTTTGTCTCTAATATGTTAACCTACCTATTTATTTTCTCTGGGAATCTGCTTCTCCCAGATACTATAGTACTTTGACCCGGGAGGGAACCAATGCAATGGACTGTCTTAGAAAAAAATAAAAAGGCTTTTTTTTCAACATTAAACATTTATTATAGAGTTGAATCTTGAATGGTAGAGACTAATATTTGAATTTCACAGCCTTGATAGAAAAAAAAAAAAAGATGAGTACCAGGTTCATTGTGAGACTAAGTCTTTATGAAGAATTTGACCCTCTTCTTATGGCTTTGTATAATCCAGTGATGAAGTACAAATAAGTTAGCACTCGAATGTCATTTGCTTTCACAGGTCTATAATGACAGATCTATACTACCTCAGTCAAACAGATGGAGCAGGTGATTGGCGGGAAAAAGAGGCCAAAGATCTGACAGAGCTGGTCCAGCGGAGAATAACCTATCTCCAGGTAAGAAGATTAGGTTAGGATATAAACTTAGGTAGTGAAAGAAAAAGAAGGAAAATCATAGTAAAGATAAGAGTAAGAATTATTGTTTTTAGTCTTCATAGTCCTTTGCTTTTTGAAATTAATTGCTCATTTATTTAGAAAGATATAGTTATACCTTGAGTAGAATACAAAGGAGGCTAAAACAAGATACTTTCCCCAAGAGGGGCTGGGCTACCTTTTATACACATACACAAAACTACAGTACAATTATGAACATGCTACATTTAATAGGAAAGAAATAGATAAAAATAATTATTGGAGTTTTAAAATGTTTACTGAAGGAGACTCAGTGATGGTTTTATAGAGATATATCATTTGAACTGAACTGTAAATTATAGGTAGAATTTGGACACAGAGAAATGAAGGAAAAGAACATACCTGCTGGAGAATACATTATGAACAGTTATCTCATGGCCAAGAGAAGGCCGGGAATCCAAATGAGAATGAAGTGCTACAATTTGGAGCTTTAGATTTTGTGAAAAGGAGGGTTGGAAGATAAGATGGAAAGATGGGCTTGGGAGCTAGATTACAGAGGTTTATGGTGCATAAGCAGTAAGATATTATTTATGTTTTTCAAAATAATATCTTTTTGAAAGATATTATTTATGTTTTACAAACATAATTATAACCACGGATAGGAAATAGTGGCAAATGCCTCTCTCAAATTAAATCTCAATTTTTTTGGTATCCTGTTCTAGTTCTTACTAGTATACCTATGCAGTCTTACATATTAGTAAGGAAATAATCTATTTACTTTTGATTTTTTTCTGCTTAATATACTATAAGCATTTTTTTTTTCTATTTTGAAGTCATTAATAGCTTTTGAAAGGTTTTTCCATGTAAGAGGGACATGATGAGAATGGTGTTTTATGTGATATTAATCTAAAATGTGTATTTTATATGAACTGTACTAGTATTTGAAACATTTGCAAGCGCAGAGACCATTTAGAATAAGAGGACCATGGTACCATTGAGAAGTATGAAAGTATATGACAGGTTGTTTTGAAGTGAATAGACAAAATTTGAGAGAATTTGGGAAAACAGAATTGACCAGGTCTTTTCAATAGGTGAAAGCACTGAAATAGGTAGGAACAGGAGCATCATTGACTAATAAGGAATGGCAAGATAGGATAGTTTTCAGGGGGTAAAGAAGGAACTGATAGAATTCTTCAAAACTGAAAAATGCTTGAAATTGAAATGACTGTGAAACATCCTGCACCCATCATTTTCTAATGCTGTTGATGGCCTGGTTTCTGGGTATAATCACCCTGTTATCCCTGGAAGATTAAAAGCAAAATGGCTATCAGTGTATATGCTTCTGTATATTTTAAGGTGCACCTTTTCCTACATATAAGTAGCAAAAAAGTAAAAAATCAAGTGTTTAGAGATCATTAAAAAATAAACCTGATCTTGGCATGGCATCTTGGTCTCATAGTCCCAAGACCATTCATCAGAGGTATCTGCAGAGTAAGAAATACTTCATCTCCTATTGGGAAGAGGTAATTATCTCCTATCAACTAGATCTTCACTCAGTGAATTCTGAGTAGCTGGTGGTACAGAAACATCATCTTTATTTAAAACAGAAATAACAGTGGTTTCTGAGCTGCTTCCATTTCCATATAAACAATAAATTTTCACCCTTAGTATTTAAACTGTGATCAGGTCATACATAGGTCAGTTCCCTACATTTTAACAAGTGCCTGCTATTTGCTTTAGTTATTTTTTTTCTTTTTTTCTCTCTTCTTTTAAGTGACCAAATCCTTTTTACCAATAGTGCTATTTAATTGTCTATATGCTGATTTCTATTGTTCTATATTAGAGGACTTCACTTATATAAATCATTCTAATGATTAAAAATTACATTACCTTTTAAAATCTTTTAAACTGTAGCAAAATTTAATATTTTACCTGGACTTTAGCTTAAATTTTAAACATTGTTATTTATCATCCTTATTTTATTCTTTATTTCCATTAAAATAGAAAAAGTGATTTTAAAAAATTAAAGGAGATGGGAAACGTCTCAGAAAAAAATATACTTTGGAAATTCGTTTTTCTGAATTATTTGATGTAATGATAACTCTTTTTCTCTAGACTAAAATTTCCTTGAAGTCAGGAATTATATTTTTAACATATTATTTGTTAGAGGTTGAAAGTAGCATTCACTTACTCTTCCTCTTCTCTGTGTAGAGGCAGAAAAGCATCCTTTTTTTTTTTTTGCTATTTGATCAAAATCAAATATATATATTGATAGGAATGTTTTCTTTGACTGGAATTTTTATCCCCCTGGTACATTTTTTAGATATAACATTTGTCAAATGGATTAATCAGCTTAATCAGAAGAGTTGATCACTTTCTTTACATAAAAAAATTATAGGAGGATTGTGAGTTCAAAGACAGCCTCAGCAAAAGTGAGGCACTAAGCAACTCAGTGAGACCCTGTCTGTAAATAAAATACAAAATTGGGCTGAAGGCAGAGTGTTCCTGAGTTCACTCTCCAGTACCCACCCCCGAAAAAAGAATACATCTTTTTCTCATATAGGTTATGTGTCCCTTATCCAAAATGCTTGGGACCAGAAGTGTTTATATTTTCTCAGGTTTTAGAATATTTTCATATACATAATCAATTATTTGGGGGATAAGACCCAAGTCTAAACATAAAATTAATTTATGTTTCATATATACATTTTATACACAAACTCTGAAGGTAATTTTTTACAATATTTTTAGTGTGTCTGTGTTGTGACTAAGACCCAATATAGAATCAGATGTGGCATTTTCCCCTTGTGACATCAGTTGGTGATCAAAAACTTTTGGATTTTGGAGAATTTCATATTTTAGATTTTTGGATTAGAGAAACTTACCTTGTACAGTTTTTTTTTTTTTCTTTTGTTTTATAGTACTGGGGATTGAACCCAGAGAATTCACACATGTTAGACAGGTGCTCTACTACTAAGCTACATCCCTGCCCCTTTTAATATTATTTTGAGACAGGTACTTGCTATCCTTGGCCTCAAACTTGTGATCCTTCTGTCTCAGCTTCCCTGTAGACCTGGGATTACAGGTGTGTGCTACCACATGTGAACTGTACAACTTTTCTTGGCATTTGTTTTAGTCAGTTATTCTACTGCTGCAATTTAAAGACTCCACCAGAACAACTGTAGAGGAGGAAAAGTTTATTTGAAGACTCACAGTTACAGAGGTCTTAGTCCATAGAAGGGTGGCTCCATTCCTCAGGGCTCCAGGTGAGGTTGAACCTCATGGTAAGAGAGGGTGGCAGAGGAAAGCAGCTTATATCATGGTGATAAGGAAATAGAGAAACAGACCTCCACTTGCCAGATACAAATATATACCTGAAGGCCCACACCCTAATCCCACCTTCTTAAACATACCCTACCACTTCAGTTACCACTGAGTTACTTCCTATCAGGGGATTAATTCACTGGGTTAAGACTCTTACATCTCAGTCATGTCTCCTCTGAACCTCCTTGTATTATCTCACTCATGAGCTTTTTTTTTTTGCGAGGGTGGTATTAGGGATTGAACTCACAGACACTCAACTACTGAGCCAAATCCCCAAACCTATATTTTTTTTGTATTTTATTTAAAGACAGGGTCTCACTGAATTGTTTAGCGCCTCTCCATTGCTGAGGCTGGCTTTCAATTCGCGATCCTACTGGCTCAGCCTCCCCAGCTGCTGGGATTACAGGGGTGCAGCACTGCGCCCAGCTCACATGTGAGCTTTTGAAGGATACTTCATATCCAAAACATAACAGTATTTAAATGTATTTATGTTCCATTGTCATTAGTTTAAGTGAAGTATTACTGTAAAAAAGTATAAGTAACAAAAACGGCATGGTATTGGCCCCCAAACAGACAGGAAAACCAGTGGTACAGAATAGAAGACATGGAGACAAACCCATATAAATACAGTTATCTGATACTAGACGAAGATGCCATAAACATACATTGGAGAAAAGATGGCCTCTTCCTCAAATTGTGCTGGGAAAACTGGAACTCCATATGTAACAAAATGAAATTAGACTACTCTTTCTCACCTTGCACAAAACTCAACTCAAAGTGGATAAAGGACCTAGGAACTAGACCAGAGATCCTGTGCCTACTAGAAGAAAATGTAGACCCAACTTTCCATCATGTCAACTGAGGAACCAAGTTCCTCAGCAAGACTCCTAAAGCAAAAGAAGTAAAATTAAGAATCAATAAATGGGATGGTATAAAACTAAAACGCTTCCCCACAGCAAAGGAAAAAATCAAGAACATCAAGAGAGAGCCTACAGAATGGGAGAAAATCTTTGCCACTTGCACTCAGAGAATTAATCTCCAGGATATATAAAGAACTCAAAAAACTTAACACCAAAAAAACCATTGTGTGGTTTATATACACAATGGGATATTACTCAGCCATCAAGAAGTATGACTTTATGATAATTGCAAGTAAATGGATGAATGTGGAGACTATCTTGGCTATCCTGGGTCCAAATGAATTTCATGATTTTTTTTATTTCTATGAAGAATGTCATCAGAACCTTAATAGAAATGGCATTAAATCTATATTGTACTTTTGGTAATACGGCCATTTTGACAAGCGTTATAAGCCAGTCCCCAAGAGCCAAAGGTCAAGAGTTCTTTCTGACATGTGGATGCTAATGCACAACAAGGAGACTAGGGAGCCAGGGCAGTAATAGAAGTTCAGCAGATTAGACAAAGGGGAGTTAAGGGATGGGAGGGGGCAAAGAAATAGGAAAGATGGTGGAATGAATCTGACATAACTTTCCTATGTACATATATGAATACACCACAGTGAATCTCAACATCGTACATGCATTAAAGACTGGGATCCTAATTTTAAAAACATGCTCTATGTTTGTTATACATATGTCAAAATAGATGATACTGTCATGTATAACTAAAAAGCACAAATAAAAATTGAAAAAAAAAACAAG